ACGCCCTGGATGTGGCTGAGAGGTGAGGCTGATTTTTCAGTATGTGGCCAGGCCCCTCTGTACTGACAGAGAGGAGTGCTGTGCCTGCTCTGTTTCTCCAGGAAAATTTAGTTACTAGAGAAAATTTACATATTCTTTCAAACGTTGTTAATCATTTCCAGTGGATGCAGGGGGCTGCTTTTGCTCTTGTCCTTCCAGAACATTCAGCAGTGCAGGTTAAGTGCTGTGTTTCTTTTTTCTCACTGACCTCCAGCAGATCTTGGGGTCAGTGAGAATCTCACTGCTTCCTTTTGAGACTGAGCTGCTTTTCTCTGTCCTGTGTATTGCGGGGAGGTGTCTGGTGCAGCCCAGCCATCCACCTGGAGATCGCAAACTGCGTGAAGGATTTCCCTCTCCCATTGCTCTACATTTTGACTGTGTGGCTCGATGACATCTAGCAGGGCCCTTCCCCCTCTCTGGTATGTGTGCCAAAGCTGTCAGTACTCAACTGCCCTTCTCCTGGCCAGGTTTTTTTGAACCACAAAATCTCAGCAGTTCTTCAGTTTCCCAGCTTTTGGCAGATCTTTTGCCAGATGCTTAGCTTTGCCTTGATTTCCCCACAGAGGAGAAACGGAGAACTTCCTCCCCGTGACAAAACATTTTGTCTTTCCGGAGTATACCCTGTTACCTCATATATCAAAAATCTGTCCATGAGTGTTTTCTGATATTCTCCTTCCTTTTAGTTGAGATCTGTTCTCATGCTGCAGGCAAAGCACTGGGAACGTTGAGGAGACTGAGACAATGTTTTCAAAGCCTAGAGACTGCAAAAACCTATTTTGAGCCATAACAGATGCTACTGGACATATGGAACATCTGAGGAACTTGCACCGAGACTATAAATGTTCTGCACATCTTTATGTCCCTGACTCAGTGGGTGGGTTTCCTATGAGAACTGGAAACTGGGAAGGGGAGAAGTGGATATGAATGCAAATCACTAATGTTCATGACTCTCCTGTGGAAAATTTGCCACAGGGAAAGGGTAATAGCATTTCTTTGGTGGGATAGGGCTCATGGTCGCAAAAAAGTAGCCTAAAAACCAGCCCTGATGTAGGAATAAGGTCACGTTGACCTGTGGCTGACTTGAGACTGGAGCTTTTACTGCTCTAATTTCAGAATCCCAGGCCAGCATGTAAACCCTTTATTGGTTTATTGGTATATTTTACTATCTGTAATACTTTTGTTCTGAAACAGTTTTGGACTCTGTGAAAACAGTCTGGTCAATGGTTCTCCCGACAGTAATCCCATCCCTTGTTCCTCACATGTCATCTTCATCCTCTGCCTTCCTCTTCCTTCTGTACTGCTGCCCAGCAGTCAGGTTGCACTATTTCACACTTCATTTCCCAGCAAACCTTTTGTTCCACTGCAAGCTTTCCCAAATCAGCCCTTCTTCTGCCAGCACTGCTGTCCCTTTCCACTAATGACCACTGCTGGAGAAAGATTAGCTCGCCTGCATCCCGTGGGACCTTTCTCTTCCAGTTCCAATATGCCTGGCTCAGCTGGCGGTCAAGCTGGACTCCCTTGGCTACAAGTGAACTGTCTTCCTCCTGCCCCCAAGTCCAGCTTAGGGAGTTTTCTTTTCCCAGTTCACTGTTGGCTTAATGGCAAATGCCAGATCATTACTTGTCCTCCCCTCCCACTTCCCATAGAGAAGAGAGAGGAGATGGTTTCTTCTCTGGTGCCTCATGTCACAGTGTTCATTAACTAAATGATCATGCAAGTTTAATCCCAGATGTGTGTTCCCAGCCTGCCAGAGTGGTGACACTATCTGTGCCAACACACGGTGATCCCTGCTCCCACTGACGCTCCGCAACACAACAAACACAGCTCCGCAATGTCAGTGATGTATTGAACGCCATGTACCCAGCTGACTCGTCAGGCTGCAGCGTATGTACGGAGCCCTGCAGTGTATGTACAGAGCGCTGCAGTGTGTGTAGCTTTCTGCAGGGTTGCACTGCAGGCCTGCTCGCTGCTGAATCAAGAAGCTCTCAGTTTACCCCCTGCTCTGTTTTCCTCAGCTCTTGCCATCACCTATCTACCCCATGTCTGTCTAGCTTTTCCTGCTGCCAGTCTATCTGCGCAATTGTCCCCATGATTAGCTAGGTACTCAGCAGTGCTGTACACTACCACAGAGCCCTGTGTAAGCTCTTGCTTGCTGCTGTCTCTCTGTTTCTGTGCATGTATTTTATGTACAGTTATCATCAAAGCAGGAGGAACTGCCATTGGATTATTTAAATTTATTTCTCCTCTGTTCTTTTGCTTAGTTTTAATGGACCTTAACAAGGACATGCTATTTGCATCTCAGAACTGTGTCTGGTGATGGTGTGAAAATCAGGTCTGTATTTAATCCACACCACCGACTCATCATAGCATTTCAGTCAGTAACTCACCCTGGACTGACTTCTTTCTAAAGAGCATTTTCATGTACAATGGGGAGCGCCCTGTCCTGGGGGTTTTCCAGGAAAGTTTGTGCTGTATGTTGCAGAAGAGAAGGCTCTGGGGATGGGAGTGCTCTATCTTGACCTCTTTCCTTACTCACAGTATATCCCTTCTGATTTACCGACTAACTTTTCACACCATGGCCCTGAGGTGAGCAAGACTTGAAGTGCTGGCCAAAGATGGAGGCTGGTGTTGCTGGAAGAAGGTGTGCTCTGAATATGGACTATCCCTGACCTGCAAGCAGCATTGGTATGGGAGAGGTTGGGGAAGAAGGTGTTGAAAACAAGAGGTTGGACCTAAAAAAGAACAAGAGGCTGAGGGGCTGTGAGAGGAGGAAAGAGAGACAGGGTGATCCCTTGATAGAAGGAAGAAAATAAAGGCAGGGTGGATTTCTTGGCGGGGGAGATAAGGGGCTATAGGCTGCCACCCAACTACTGCATTCATATCAGAGAGCCACAGTCCTCACCATAATTCTCTGCTGGAGCTGTGGCCAGCACAGACAGGGTCCTGCATCCCTTGTACACCAGAGTGCAGGGCAGAGGTGTCAGATTTGCCGTGGCTTGACTCAGAGCCAGAAGTAGGAGGGCAGCAGTCCCACAGCCCAGAGCTGTGTTGCACTGTGATGCTTCAGCTCCGGTCGGTGTTAGTCTGAGCATCTTTGATGCCCACCACTGCTCAGTGGAGACTGGTCTAAGGGCTGGCACTAATTTGGGCCAAAGCCTGCTCTGTACAGGTAGGCAAAAATAATTTTTCATCCACTCCCTATTGTTGGTCACTCTAGTGCTGGCCAGCTCCTGATATAAATTAGAGGAGATCTGAGTTATTGGAATTTACAACCTGCAGCAATTGAATTGTTCCTATGCTTAAATTCAGCAATCCTGAAACCTTTTCCATGTAACCTTCTCTTCCTCTCCTCCCCTTTGCACTCCTCCACAGAGAGAGCAAAGTACACACTTACACTGCCTTTGTGAAGGAAGTCCTGGGGTTTGGGGGAAGGGTGATGCTGCTTTCATGTCCTGTAATGATAAAAAGGAGTGATTTGTAAGTTAAAGAGGGAAGGATGAAAAGAAAAGGAATGTAAGAGTAAAAGATAATCTTTATCCACCCTCTTCCCCCAATAAACTCCCACCTCAAAAGACACAAAGGTCTAGGTGCAAGAACAATATAAAGCGTCTGCAAGGCATCACGCTGTCTCTGCAGTGCTGCATTGCCCTGGCAAGGCAGTGCCAGAAAGTTGCTTAGGTGAGGGAAGGCTTTGGGCCACATTCAGGTGAAACATCAGCCTTTCTTTTCCACTCCTAATACGCTTGAGTTGCTGGCAAACATGGCTGTGCTTAGGTGGAAGTGGGAAAAGCAGAGCTGCTGGAGAGCAAGCTCGTTAAGGTTGTGTCCATGCCAGGGACTGCATTTGAACAGAGTCCCATGGGACATGAGTTGCCGAGCTCCAGGCTCAGCCTGGCAGGCATGAGTGGCAGAGACAGGGCTCGATTCCATATGGCAGGATTGGCACATCGGCCTCAGCGGATGATATGTGCCTGGGGCAGAGGTAAAACTCTGCACAGAGCTAAGTTAAAATCTGAGCTCTCTGTTGCCCAGACAAAAACAGGGATGGCAGGAGCTCAGGCGAAGGACACAGGAGGTCTATGGCACGGTTTGTGCTGGTAGGGCAGCACTGGAAAGGGGGAGTGTGCTGAGTCAGCAACTCTTCTGAACTGGAAAAGAAATTATTCTTGCCCCCCTGCCAGCGCTTCATGCAGATCCAGGATACAGTTCCCAGAAGCATCCCTGCATATGTTAGCAAGAAGGCAATGGTCTGCACATTTTGCAGCAAGAACAGCATGGCAACTGGTGCAGCACTGAGCTGTGAGCTGGTGGTAATGGATGTCCTGAAGGGAAAGCTGTGGAGTATAGCGCTGATGGGCTTAATCTGCTGACTGCCAGGGAGCAAGTTGTTCTTCCTGACTCCGAGGAAGCTTGCAGGCAAGAACCAGGACTGGAAGAAGGCAGACTACCAGCTGCAGAGCTGGGGTCATCTAGGACAGTGCAGCCCCCTTCATTGAAGCATCCTCATTGCAGGGACAGTGGGCTGGGAAAACTACAGTTCCCAGCACCCTTTTGTGCATGTCCCTGCAAACTACAGTTCCCAGAATCTTTTAATGATTCAGAGAGGATGTCTATGGAAATAAATGCCGACAATTTTTGCATAACACCCTGCAACTCTGAAATGCTGGCCGGTCCATGGTCCATGGTTAGTGGAAACAGGAACAGGGAAAAAGCCAGGGAGCATCAGTGCTGTGGAGCTGTGGTTTTGCCCAACCCTAATAGCTGCAGCAATATCCTCCAGCACAGAGCATCCTTCCTCCCGCCAGGACACCCTTGGTGGTCACAGAGAGGACCCTGGCCCCTGGAAAACAAAGCTGCTGCGGAGGGAGAGGCAGATAAACTACAGATCCCGGCATTCCCCAGCAGGCAGCACCTGCGGCCATCCCTGCACGCTGGGGGAGGGGGGGATGAGGATGAGGATGGAGGGCGGGGAGGAGATGCAGGATACCGTGGGGCTATGCTGCACCTGGGACATCCCACCACCCGCTGGCACCCAGGCTAAGTGGGTGAGGCTTAATGTGGGGGGCACCGTCTTCCTCACCACCAGGCAGACCCTGTGTCGGGAGCAGAAATCTTTCCTGTGTCGCTTGTGCCAGGGCGAGGAGCTGCAGTCGGACCGGGTAAGGCAGCTGGGTTGCCTCCCGCGCCGTGCCCCACCGAGCATGGGGAGGGCTGGAGAGATGCAGGGATGGAGCCAGGCCCCGACAGCTGCAGGAGTAACTGAGTGAAAACTGTCTCTTTCTCCCCCCCCTCTCCTGGGAAGGATTTCCCCTTGCCAGATCCCACCTTGCTGTGTTGTAGCCTGGCACAGGGAAAAGAGAGGCCACCCTCCCCGCCCCTGCTCTCCCACCTACCCACCTATCCCCTCACATCCCCTGGGTCTACCTCCGAGCTGTATCTGCCTGACTTAGCCTTGTCCCCTGTAAAGGGTCTCTCTGCTCTCTCACACCAGGTCTGTACACACAGTTGCAGAAGGAGCCTGAGACCTATTTTTTTTTTTTGCTTTCTCAGCTGCGTTGGTCCATGCCGAGACAGGCATGCTGAGCATAACAATACAGGAGTTAAAATCCAAGCTGGACTGACTTGGCTAGGGCCTCTCTGTAGTCCATCTCAGGAGCGTAAATTACTGAGGTTGGTTCCATTTGCCACGGGGGTAAAGCCTGTAGAAAGAGTTCAGCCACAACTTCAAAAAATCTGTCTTTTTTCCCCCAAAATTCTGTGGTGCTGTGGTGAACTTTGCAAAAAGCTTGCTCTGCACCTCACCTGTGCGTACAGGTCAAGATATCCCCCTTGCGTGCTGGCTGGCTGTTGTCCTCTGTAACTGCCTATGCATGTGTGTGCTTTGGGATCCTTTAGTTGATCCTCATCCTTTGGATCATCTCACAAAAGTGTGGCAGTGGCATGTTTTTCCACTGGAGAACTTTGCTATGTGCACTGTGTAAGTGATGGTACCATGGAGAAGCTGAACCATGGGCAAGGCCCCTGGTTTCCAAGGATTCTTAGAAATAGTGAACGTTTTTGCTTGGGTTTGTATTTTCTTCTAGTCTGGAGCATTTGTAGATAGGTGATACCTTTCCCATGGGGTTTTTATCCTCATTGTCTGTTGCTAGGATGAGACTGGTGCATACCTAATAGACCGGGACCCCACTTACTTTGGACCTATCCTGAACTTCCTTCGTCATGGGAAGCTGGTCCTGGATAAAGATATGGCTGAAGAGGGTGAGTCTTGGAGCTCAGAAGCTTCCCACTTAACATTGCTGCTGTAGCCAGGACACAGTAGGACTTGTTATTGACCTTGTTGTGTCTCATTCTCCTTCTGGAGGCTGGTGCGGGGGAATTTGAAAGGGCTATCCCTGTGTGCAGCTCTTGGAAAGCGTACTGATGTTTCCTTCACTAAGCGGGTTTGGAGTAGGTGGGGAAGGCATCCTGCATGTGTTGTGGCTTCATGACTGTTAGTTCAGCAGAGGTGTCACTGAGATAGAAGTAGGCAAGATCTCTCAGTCTCAATAAACCATTTTATTACTTGTTCCTTATCTGCTTTTAACCAGGCTTAGTGATTGAGTTTTCTGTTAATGACTGAGTGGTTCTAATGAGGAATGAAAACCCAGAAGACCAAACAAGACCAACTTCATCTCTTCTACTGACTGTAATAAAGACCATCATTAATCAGTGATATGTAACGTATGCTACTAGTGCTCTGATGGGTTGTGGACTGCAGCAATTCCAGTGGAGCAAGCCGGACAAACCAATCCTTCATTTGAGGTTGACAGGAGGTCCAACAGGAGAACTCAGTAACATCATCACGATTTTACCAGCCTAATAATTCCTAATGCCTCATAATTTTTGGATGCTAGATTCTAACAAGCAGCCAATTCCAAAGACAGGCTGTGCTGTCCAGCCCTAGCCAAGCACCGTTTCTGCATGTTCATTAGTCTTCTTGCCTCTCTCTCTTACATATTTTTACCTAATGCAAGGAAAGTTTTCTTCAGGATTGTCTTATGAATTATAATTCCAAAAACATATCTAAGCAATGGTACAAAATTGGAAAAAACAGGACTCTGAGGTGTTTACAGGTGTAATCCTGAGGTCAGACAGAGTTCATCCACAGGTTTTAACATCATATCTGAAGCATAAACAGGAGTCCTGTTCACAGTTTAACATTGCCTTTTGTTCCTGCTGCAGACACTCAGGCTGACATAAAGCTAACCCGTTAGACAATTCGTGGCTGAATGAGGGACTCTGAAGGGGTCTGAGTGTGTCAGGTAGTGAAGGATCAATCCTCCCACCTGCATTGTCTGTGTACTGCCCTGGGGACATGTGAGTGTTTGTTCCTAGCCTCCCTCCCCTCCCGCACCCTCTGGGAACCCACCTCCCTTCCCCTGAAGGCCTGTTAGCAGACAGCTGAGTCTGGGGGGGGGGTGTGTGTGATGGATGCAGACATCATTGAGGAAAAAACCAAAACACTTCTCTGTTTACCTGCTTTGAGGTGAAGCACAGAGGAGAGAGCCAAAGATCATCTGAAGTCATATGGGGCTGCAAGGTGGGTGCAACTCCAACTGGCCCAGGAGGAAAGTTGGGATTTTTTTAGGGTCTTTTGGTGACAAGATCAGAAATACTTGTGGTTCTCTGGCTTCCAAAGAGGGCCTGGACAAGGTGAGAACTGGTGACCATTGAGAGAGGCTGGAGCCAACATTTATTCTCCTTGGGCAGTAATCTGTGAAAGGTCTTAGCGGTCCTCAGCAGAAGCCTTCACTGGTGGCACCTGTTTCTGTAGTAGCAGGCAGCATAAGGAAATTGGGATGAGCATTAGGAATGCAATGCAGAGAGCCAGGGTTCAATTCTCTGCACTAAGAGTTTCAAGCAACAGAAACCTGTTAAAAAGTGAGGCTGGAGTGTCATTTCTCGCTATGGACCTTGGGAAGCTCAGAATTGATCTTTTGCAAGTCAAAAACCAAAGATGGGCTGTTAACCTTCTGTCTTTGTGGTCCTTCTGTCTGTCTCAGGGGTCCTAGAAGAAGCTGAGTTCTATAACATTGGTCCTTTAATCCGAATAATCAAGGATCGACTGGAGGAGAAGGACTACACAGTAACTCAGGTATGGAGAGAAATGGCAAGGAAAGATGGAGTGGGGTGGGCAAAGGAGGGAGTGTGGAAAGGGAGACTCTAGAGTCTAGAGGGAGAGCACTCTTGGGAGAAGCAGCAAGGAATGGAAAGAAGCAACTAATTAGAATTTATGTGCTAATGTCTGCATAGCAAAATCTTGCAGGAGACAGGCTACCACCATTTTAGTTACAATAAACAAGTTATAGGCTTATTTTGCATCCCCAGAAGTAATGCTGGATGTAGCCCCTGAAAGCAAATCATCTCCTCTAGCTTTTGGAAGAAGCCACCAGGTTGCTATGGGATATGGAAGGATGTTTGTGAGGAGAGCGGAGGCATGGGGAGGAGGGCTCTGGTGTGGGGAGTCCTGGAAGTATAATCACATGGGGATACCTGTATAGAAACATAGTGGGAACAGGTGAAGACATGTCTGTGGAAGAGTTAAATGCAGAAATTGAGGCACGAGGAATCAGTCCTGTAGCACAATCACACCTTGTCTTGGCCAATAACCTTTTAAAATCTGTCTCTGGGAGTGCTGGCTGACATCTCACTTTTCATCGTGTCTGCCTCAGGTTGTAAGCCTCCAGCAACACAGTCACTTTGCACTTGCAAAACCCCATCAGCATTTGTTGCATTTGCATAAATGACTTTGTAATAACAAATGCAAACTCCCCATCAAAAGAGCCCAGTATTTTCTGGGGACAATGCAGGAAGCTCTCCAGAAGAGATACTGTTCTTGCTCCCCATGACAGCATAGTAGAAAGTTGGGTTGTGGTTTCCACTCCCCTTTAGGCTGGGACATGGGGAAGAGGACAGGTCTGTCAAGGAGGGGTACTACTACTTCCTTCTGCTGGAGGGCAACAGCCTTTAGCATTTGACCGTTGTCAACATGCTCTGCAATTTTGTTGTCAGGTGCCTCCTAAGCATGTCTACCGTGTGCTACAGTGCCAGGAAGAGGAGCTCACTCAGATGGTTTCCACTATGTCGGATGGATGGCGCTTTGAGCAGGTATGGAGAAGGTAGAGGAGGCTGGGCAGGAGCTGTTTTTTGGGAAGAAGATTACGGATACCATACAGTCCACAGGCAAGGCACCTTCCCTCTCTGAGAATGCTGGGTCAGTTGTTGATGGTGCTATCACACTGGCTCTCTCTTGCCCCTTCTCTAGAGCTGTAGAGGATGCTGTGTGAGGTTAAGCTGTTTTGCATCCCGGCTGACTCCTCTCTTGGTTCTCTGTGCTGCCTCCTCAGTTTAGTTATGAGGCCTTTCTATTGGGGGTATGGATTGAACTCCCTGCTACATGGTGGGCTTTCTGCCTTGCTCCCCAGGTGGAGTAGATGTTTGCAGTAACATGTGCTTGTGATTCTTGCTCTCGTCTTTTCTAGCTTGTCAACATTGGCTCATCCTATAACTATGGGAATGAGGATCAGACAGAGTTCCTGTGTGTGGTCTCCAAAGAGTTGTACAACTCCCCAAGTGGCCTGAGCTCTGAGCCCAGCCACAAAGCCAAGGTGAGATTGACTTTGCTATGGCCCTTCTCCTGTTGCCTATGAGACCCTTTGCTCGTTTGCTCCCTCTTTCTTTCCTCTCTCCACTGTGACTTTGGGGGCTGCACCTCAGTGGTGAAACACAGGGGCTTGTCCTGGTGTTCAGCACCATGGCATTACACCTGTTGCCCAAAAGGAGGAGTGGGTGTATTGAGACTGGTGGTGTCCAGCTGTGTGTGGCAAATGGCTTCAGCAAGTGACCCTGCCACTTTCTTATGCTACTCTAACATCCCCCTCATGCCTTCTCATGACCATGCTGTGTGTGTCACTCTGCTGCTATGGTGTGATTTCCCTGAAGGTTTTGCAGCGTTCTCCTTCCTTTTGCTAAGTCCCAGCCTAAAGGGCAGGAGATCATCTGCTTTCCTTTTTGAGGGAAGGACAGAAATGTGTGGCAGTGCATGACATCCTGTAGACACCTAGGATACAGAAAGGAGCACTAGCGACTGATGGCTGTTGTTGGGCAGTGGGATCGCAGCACTTGTAAATGGGTTAGATAGCCCTGACCTGATGCTCCAGAGGAAGACAAGTCTCTTTGCTCCCTGACCCAGAGCTGTCTTGGCCATGGGGGAAGGTCCCTTTTTATTCTGGCGTCGTGACCATTGCTTTATTCCCTTGTGTGTCAGAAAGAACTGCCATGGGTCATCTTGCAAGTATCTCCACTCTTTCTTCCCTTTGTCCTGCATGCTGGGCCACAGAGCACAGAGGAGGACCTGGAGGAGGAAGAGCAGGAGGTGGAGGAGGAGGCAGAAGCAGAAGCAGAGGAGAAAGGTGCAGCAAATCCTTGAGGAAAAAGATAAAAATAACCCCCCAAGCATAGACCCGTCCACCTTTCTGGTGAGAGCTCACAGCTAGCAGCAGGGAAGGACTAGGGCAGGTGTGGGGTGTGGGGGAAGTCCTCTCCAGGAGTCTCTCTGGAGATAAAGCTCACAGGGGAGAGCTGTTACTGTGGCTGCTGCTTTATATTTTAAACTGTTCGGTTTATTTATGGTTATATTTTTATTTGCAGACTGTCTGTCTATTCGGGATTGCACTAAACTCTTTCTGCCTCTGGACCCTCCGTCCTGCTCCCCTCCATGTCCGTCCTGCACTGTCACCTGCCTCCCACCCCACTCCACTCCCCAGCCTCCAGCATCCTTCCCTCTGCTCTCTTTGCTCCCCCCAGGGCTCAGAGCAGTCCCTGCCTGGGGCCCTGTCTCTCTCTGCTCCTCACTTTTCCTCATCTGCAGGTACGTTACCTGTCCGCACTCTCGGCTCTCGCCAGCCTGAGCACTGCATGAGTGACTCACTTCCCTCTTGTGGGTATGGCCCCGGTTTGTAGAGCTTGGGGAGGGAAGGGGAGGGAGGGGAGGTTGACTCAGTCCTTAGGTGGTTTTTCCAATTCTCATCCTATATGTGCCTTTACCTGCCAAGCAGGCCCTACTGCTCCGGATCAGAGGCTCTGGCAGCAGAAAGGAGAGCGCAGCTGGGAGAAATGAAGAGGGGTGGAAATGAATGCAAAGCAGGCAGCAGTGGCACGGGGAAGGGGGGAAGTCTGCCACGTGTCTGCCTGACACGCATGCCAGATCGCTTCTCCAGACTGCCGGCCGCAGCTCCTTTGCCTGCCAGCCCGAGAGCGGTTTGCAGAAGGCAGCCTATGATTTTTTCCCCTCCCTGCTCTCGCTTCCCTGGGCTTTCCCCCCACCGCCTCTGCCAGGGTGAGGCGAAGTGAGAGAGGGTGGCGAAGGCAGAACGGAAGTGGCTAGTCCCCGCTCCAGATGTTCTTGCAGCTGTGTGCAAAATGAGCCGCTGTGCTCTGCCTGCTGGTCAGGGAGGCTGCTCGGCCAGGGTGCGTGGGGCTCAGTACAGAAAGCTTTAGAAGGAGGATTTCTCTCATACTGGAAAACTGTCTCTTGTTAAACCACAGTTGCTCAGTGCCACCCTCCGTCCTGGCAGAGGGCACTTGTTAGCTGGCTGACATTTCTCTCTCCCTCTGTTCGAGACCCTCCTTGTCCATGGCTGTGGGACCTGACCGTTGTGCTCTTACAAGTCAGTGTATGTTAATCACGCAGACTTTTTCTTCCTTTTTCTCTATTCTCCCACTCTCACTCCTCAAATCTTTATTTTTCTTCTGTTCTCATTTCCTCTATCATTTCCCTTTTCCTGTTTCTCACTCTCCCCTCCATGCTCCATCACTTTTTTTTCCTGCTGTTGATTTTGTTTCTCTCTGTGTCTCTCCTTCTCTAGCTGTTACAAGCCAGAGGTCTGAGGATGTGATCCCGACACTCCACTCCAGCCTTTTAATTTCTGGTTTATATCTTTATTATTATGTACTGCAGTGTATGCCCCGTGCCCTACAGTGACACTCCCCAGCCCCCTTCACTCTTCACATGCAGCCATTCTTTTTTTACAAATTCACCTCGGAGGCTTGAGCCTCAGCCCTGGAGGAGGGCAGATGCTCCAAGGAGCCCCTGGGCTGCTGTAGGGGCTGGGGGCCCCGGCCCCCC